TCTGCTCGCGTATATACCTACTGTGCCCTTTGTACTTATCCACATCCACCTCTCAGGCTGGTTGCCCTCCAAGGTCACCGGAGATTATAGCACACAACTTGGTGTAGATGTAACGTGACCAACCAGAGGTTGTCATGGGGATGGATGTTGTATCCTTCCGCTCGTCTGATTCCTTCTCAAATGTAGTGAACGAGGATATATCAACACCTACAGCCAGTATGATGTCTAGGCTTGGGCAACCTGGCAGTATCCCAGCCCTCGTGCTTCCTTCTGGTGGCATGGCAGTTAGGCACCGAAAGGGTGCTACAGCTGAACAGCCAGTATGAACACAACTGCAGTAAGTGAAGCGAAGTTGATGATCCACGTCGATTTCTCGGATATATCCAAATCCAGTTTGTTCTCAACAGCACAACACCATTGTTTAACACTGATGTCTTGCTGTCCTACAACCACAACTTATTCGGAAGCCTTGCTGTGAAGAACAGGACAATAATGCATGGGGAGGGGACTTAGTGCTAGCGTATTTACATTCCGAATGTCCACAGCTCTACCCACTCACTCAGAAAATCAGGGTAGAAACTGACAAAAAGAACTCCATTGACATCGATAAACAGTCGTATCTTACAGCGCCTCAAAATATACAGTTTCAGATCACGCCGATCCCATCCCAGATGCCAGCTACACCGACAGCGCCCAGCTGTTTCGTAATCTCTGTCACGCTCCTCTGCTGGGTCAAAATTGACAACCTTTGCTTACACCACTCTGAATTGGGCTCGGAAAACAGCATCCTTCGGCAAACGAGGATTCAGCGTACGCAGTGCTGTGTGATACGAGTGGTTCCAGGTGGAGATTAAAAGGAAGACAGAATAGAAGGGCGTGATGTACATCTTAGTCGTTTAATAATGGCCGTACATGAGCTGAAAATACATAGTGAAAATTATCAGTTAATGATGTGTGAATGGTATAATTTACATAGTCATAACAGCAGTGTTTGGCCTCATTATCATCGAAAGAAACACCAGGTGAGAACACTGGTGCTTCACTGCCATGAAAACGTGTAAATTTGTTTGAAACGGGACAGGGAGGGGGACCTAGGGACTGCCTACCACATAAGCCTGTTTTCCAACACTCAGTCGGACAGAAACTGAAGGTATGGAGACCGCAGCGGTTAACGGTCATATTGTTCAATGTCCCAAGCCAAGCACAGGGAAGGTCACGTGGATCCCGTGCTGGAGGGTGAATAGCACCAACATTATCCGAAGTGACCCAATCTTGCGGCCGTACAACAATACATCCCGTACTATGGTCTTACGAAGCCCACTGACATTCCTTCTTGACGTTACAAGTGGCGCGAATTGGCAAGCGCACTTCTGTCCTTTGAGATTCGTGCGTTCACCTCATCTGCTACGCTAGCGTCAGAGCCAGTATCATCCTTTGGATTCTTGGAGTCATGTTAAAGATTGCAAATCCTGCAACATGACTTCGCACTTTGTGCGAGCGTAGCACATGCCGAATGACTGGATGACTTTGGCCCGCTTTTCAAGTAATACTTGCGCTTCCTGCTTCTCAAAAATGAGAAAAATGTCATCTGCGTTTTCCAGGTCGATGGAGTTCGCGCTCAAAGGGATTTGAACACCGGGGTTTTGGAGACTCGGTGTACACCCAATCATCGGAATTCAATAAAAATGGAGAGAGTGCACTATATTGTCGGACACCGCTGCTTGTAGGAAAGGTTTTGGGGAGCTCTCATACAGCTTTACGTTCACAAACATGTGAACACAAATCACATGGTATTCAAGAGCTTCTGGGGCGTAGGTGGCCTAACCACTGTAGGTTTTTTGGGACTAATACCACTTCCGTGATACGTGAAACTCTCCAAAACTTCCAGTGATTCTCCCTGATGTGTTCAGCGACTGCGTGTTCAGAAGCATGACCTTGCTCTTTGTGAGTGTAAAGCACATACCGATGGACGGGATGAAGTTGGTAAGTTCATCCGAAAACACCTGCACCTTCTCTTCGAAAGGATAGCGCAGTGGTTAGAGCGCTAGCTTACTGACTGGAAAGTCCGTGGTTCGAACCCGACCTCTGCATCTCGATTTCTCCTGTCTAGGCTTGGGCAACCTGGCAGTATTCCAGCCCTTGTGCTTCCTTCGGGTGCCATGGCAGATAGGTCCCGGAAGGGTGTTACAGTTGAACGATTTTTTTAGAGGCACACTTCCGGTCCGCAAAAACGAGGTACTAGTGTCAACTTGTTTGGGTAGCACAAATGGGAGGTGTCACGGGTTCGACCATAAGGTCAAGTAGGTTTTAAGACCGAACCAAAACTAGTTATGTTACATCCCAGCAATTCTCTGACAGATTGGCGTCAAGTGACCATGAGGAAAAGGTCTGGGCTCTATATATATTGAGATTTTAAACGATAATTTTATCATCGGTACATTGACGCTTAACCGTCTTCATGGTCCTGACTGCTTTAGCCGTCGATGCCCTAAAGACAATACCGGTGGTAATGGGCCTTTTCGCTTCGACATCTGTAGGATTAAATTACCTTTTCTTTGAAGACCTTCCAGTAGAGAACCATCCCACCGGTGAGACCTCCTGATAGTTAATATTAAAGGAGTAACTCTGAAACTCGGTGGCAGTCAGGTGGTAATAGTCAATAAGCTGAGACGCTGCTTCCATGTGGTAGCATACACTGGACACATCAGTACATTTAAGTTCAGTTTTTCGACTAGAAACCATGTATTGAAGTACAGTGGGGAACGAAGTACAACCTCGCTCATCGGGATCAAGCAGAATAACGAAATGAGAGCCGTACATTGGATGTGGCGTTCCAGTTAGTTCATTGACGCTAAATGGTTCTGTTTGTCTGATGTGGCAGGGAGTGAACGGCCCATGCAGTGATGACATCTTTGATGCGGGGTTACCACGCGCTACGTGATACAGCCGCGTCTTCCAAGGTCACTAACCATTAGTTTGTCTTCCCAGGGTCGCACCTGAAAAGATGAAAGTTATCAACACGACTGAGTTAACCGGTGGGAGCTTTCATGCTGTGTTAACAAGTCTTGGACTGACCACCCATGGATCGTCTCCACCCGATACATGGTTCGAAAAATCGAAGTTATCCAGCTGCAACACCCTTGCGGTGCCTAGCTGCCGTGCACCCTGAAGAAGACACGAGATCTGGGATACCGCCGGGTTACCCAAGTCTAGACAGGGGAAGTCCGAGGTCTTGTTCTAACTACGGGCCTTCCGGTCAGTAAGCCCGCACTCTAACAACTGAGCCATCTCGTCCCCATAAGCCATCTCGATAACTTTCCACAGAGTTCCACCTATTCGTTCCCCTTTATGTTGTATAGAATGGTCTGACTGGTGGCAACGCCTTTTATATGGAGAAACTGTTCAGTCATCCGAAATGAATAATGAACTACAATCTGAATGCACGAAACTAGTCAGGTCAAATTTAGCGGAGTGGCACAAGACCAGCCATCACCGTAGACGAACTTGCATCTGGACACGCATAGGCGAATGGGAAACGTGAATACTCGTCTATGACCGTCAGCAGATGTTTATTTTGAGTCGGCGAAGCCAGTGGCTGTTTAAGGTCACTGCTTAAAGGTCCAAACGTTTGTGATTCTGTTGATTATACTAACAGATGGCTTGGAGAATGTGGTCTTGACTAACCCAACCTCTGCCTTTCGACTTCTTCTGTCTAGGCTTGGGCAACCTGGCAGTATCCTAGCCCTCATGCTTCCTTCTGGTGGCATGGCAGCTAGGCACCGAAAGGGTGCGACAGCTGAACGATTACTGTTTATTATTATTGCAGGTTGGAGCTGATAAATTGGTGCATAAATCCAACAATATCAGTGGGCTGTCAAGTGGGGGTTTGGAAAAGGAGCTATGCATTGAAGGCAATAGCTTGGATGTACGAGGGGCCATGTCTGACAATGTCTCTAGCCGTTGACATGGCCCGTCTCGGGGTCCCCATCCAGGAAGACGGCAGTTACCAGCGCAGCTGAGTTTGCTGGTAATGGCTTTCATATTTTGCTGCCAAGTCATTGTCTGACTACCTCTGGCTCTTACACCCTTCACGTGGTTGTGCGAAAAGAGCCCTTTGAGGAAGTCGGTCGACTGGCATACGCAGCACGTGGCCAAGCCAGCGCAACCTATGCAGTGTGATCAGCTCATCTATCGGGGGTGAGTTATTTCTCCCGAATACCATTCGACAAACTTCAGCATTGCTGACCCGGTGTTCCCACCATATTCGGGCAATGCTCCGAAGACATCGATGGTCAAGCACTGAAAGTCTTTTGACGTCCTCGGCGCGCAGCGGCCAGGTTTCTGATCCATATGAGGCGAGATGGCCCAAGTGGTAAGGGCGCGAATTTACTAACCGGAAGGTCCGTGGTTCGAATCCGACCACCGCCTCTCGACTTCCCCTGTCTAGACTTGGGCAACCTGGCAGTATCCCAGCCCTCGTGCCTCCTTCTGGTGGCATGGCAGCCAGGCACCGAAAGGGTGCTACAGCTGGACGCTTTCTTTCTTTTGATCCACATAGTAATATGAAGCGCACTACAGCATTATAAACTCGACCCTTGACAGAGAAGCCGATGTCACACCTACGCCACAGGTAGCGTAGGTTCCCAAAAGCTGCTGTGGCCTTCCCAATCCGGATGGAAATTTCATCTTTCGTGAGACCACCGGGACTGATACAACTACCCAGGTAAACAAATTTATCTACTATCTCAATCAGTTCATCCGCAGGCCTGAGGCTAGGGTTCGAGCCCACCCAGTCTTGCACTTCACACTTTGCAAGTGTGAAGCGCATGCCGAACCGCGAGGCAGAATTATTTAGGTTACTTAATATTGTTTGCATTACCACGGGGTCAGTTCCAAGAAGAGCTATGTCGTCTGCGTACTCGATATCTGTGAACGGGCGCCCAGGGAGCACTTCCACCCCACAGGCATTAGAGGCTGGTAGTGAGTCTTCCATGATCGTATCAATCACAAAGTTGAAGAGGAAAGGTGAAACAAGACAGCCTTGTCGGACACCACTGGAAAACAACCATTGTTGGTTGCTGGAAGCAGTGTCGCTCTTCCCGAATCTGTCGGAGGGCGAAGATGTGGTCGATGCAACCTCTTGCAGGACGAAACCCAGCTTGGTTTTCACGGATCTGCTTCTCTTTGTGTTCAGTCAACCTTCGAAGGATAAGGCCAGAGAGCACCTTCGATGCCACAGCTAACAGGCTGATGCCACGGTGGTTTTCACATAGCGTCCGCGTACTCTTTTTGAAGATGGGGATAACCGTCGACATGCCCCATTCTGCAGGCACTTCCTCTTCGTCCCACATAGTACCAATAAGCTTTGTCAGGTGGGTCATCAGGGATTTTCCGCCTTCTTTGAAGAGGGCTAAATACAGACCGTCCGGTCCTAGTGCCTTCTCACCTTTCAGTGCGGCTATTTCGTACCCTATATCTTCTTCTGAAGGGCGATCAAGGTTTAGATTCCATTCGCCCGTATGCATTATCTCCATCGGCTGTGTTCCAGGAGGCCAGCTGAACTGCTCTTCGAAGTGTTCGGCCCCTCTCTCCAGTTGACGTTTTTGCGATTGGATTAATGAGCCATCTTTTTTCACTTATCGTTTCGCTGACCGTTGCTTTCCTACGGCCAGTCGCTCGGATTAGTTGATAAAGGACACGGCTGTTTCCCGTAGCAAAGGCCTTCTCCATCTTTCGAGCTTTCGATGTCCACCAGAGCTTTCGATCTTTCTTTAGACTCTTCACTATTTGGCGTTTGAGGGACTTGCGTGCGCCGTCGTACTCCTTGCCTGCTGGTGTGGCTTTCCTGGCATCAGTCATGGATAACGACCTCGACGACATCCAGTGGCCTTGTCGTCGAATTGGAGAAGTCGGGCAGGCAGCACTGAATGCCTCTCGCATAGCTCCTTTCACATTCTGCCACGCTTCATCCGCATGCTCACTGCCACCACAGTATTGTTTTACTGTGAAGAGTTGTTGGCCCTGCTCAGATCGATACTGTTGAGCTACGGAAGTTCTTCGAAGTTGGTGGATTGGCATGTTTCGTGCCGACTTGCGAGGGCCTGAAGGGAAACGAACTGTCAGCCGTGCGCGCACCATGGAATCAAGTGGTGTGCCCTAGAAGAAACGGCTCCGTGCACACATGAAATTGCTTAATGAAAAGTACGATGTCCTCTAGGGAGAATGGGGGGGGGTCCTTGGTGCTAATGAAATGCCCCGTGTTTGTTGCTCCAGAATGGCAGAGTTGCGTGTAAGCCCTTAAGAATCAGGTGAGATGAATCGTTCACACGAATATTTCGAGAGAGCATATCAGCGACTACATGATACACCAGCTCACCATTTCTCAACATGGGCACCGGCGAATTTGTGCTGAGAGGCTGTTGACAATGTGCCCTTCATCACCATCTTGCATACTGTAACCGGATACTTCCGACAAGATGAGAAAAATTGCATTTCAAAACATCAGAAAAAACTTGGTTTTTGTGACTGGAGCAGGGTATACTTTGGACGTCCATGTACTATCATTCGTCCATGAATTCGACAGCTTTTTCTTCGGCGCTACTTCTCTTTTTCACACCCACCCTATTTAGGCCAGGTGATCGCAAGTTTATCTCTGAATGAAACGAACAGTTGTCAAGGTCCTCTTACTTACTGCCAAATAAGCTTCATTTTTCTTCGTTTCATCATACTCCCAACTGTTTTTTTGTCTTTCCACAGCTTCTCTATTAACGCCACGCTTTCGCGAAACCTTCTTTCTGACGCATATCCGGTGCCCCTTATTTTACGATGGAAACTGCTGTGGACCTCGTAGGAGATGCTACCAAGTTTCACAAACCCGGTGAGAATTACACTTCCCCCGGATACGTAGTGACCACGTCCACTATGCGACTTCTAAAGGAACACATTGCCCAGACAAAAGGGATGGTGGTCACTCGTTTCCCACCTGAACCTAATGGCATTCTTCATATTGGACATGCAAAGGCAATCAATTTTAATTTTGGATATGCCAAAGTATTTCTGTTCATTTTCGCTCATTTTTTCGTAGAAATTGGGTGGTATTACCTACCTGCGGTATGATGACACTAACCCAGAAAAGGAGGAAGAAGAGTTCTTCCGCGCGATCAAAGAAATGGTACTTTGGCTTGGTAGGTTCTGGTCCGTTTTTTTCCCATTACATACACACACGCAGGTTTCACTCCCTACAAGGTCACCCATGCTTCGGACCACTTCGATCAGCTGTACAAATGGGCAAAAAAGTTGATCAGACTTGATCAAGCTTACGTTTGTCATCAACGGCTAGAAGAAATTCGTGGTTTCAATCCCCCTCCCTCACCTTGGCGCGATCGTCCGATTGAAGAATCACTGCAATTGTTTGAAGATATGAAAAACGGAAAGGTTATTTTAATTTTACAGCATTATTTTGTCCAAATGTGTTATGCTCTTGTTGGTTAAAAAGGCTGGCTGGCCCAGTATTGCCAAGACCAGACACTGACGGATCATGCGAATATTCGCCTTCAAGGTTTTTTTGGAAGATCAAATTAGAGGGTGAGAATGTTTCAGACGTAGCAATGACCAGAGAAGGGCCTTCGGTTTCCTCTCACCATCTACGCTATCAGAATCCTAATCAATTTCCAATGTGATCGCGCGAGCGACTGAAAGTATAGTGGTCTGAGTCCAACCTTAAATTTTATTGTCTCATGTCCACTACTAGTCTAGTCGTCATGGCGACTAGACGTCCGAAAGGCGGACGCATCCGAGCTATTTGATTTTTCTAATTAAATTTACACACAGATACACGATATATCCATGAGTATCTTTCACCGACGATAACATTCGCCCTTCACTAGGAAGGCGCGTAATAGAATCCTAATTCGTACGATCCAGCTACTGCTGTCTGGGTTTGGCCACGGTGCTTATTCTGATCTGTTCCGCCTAATAGCCTGTTTTTTTGTTTCCGAATAATCTTTGTCCCTTTCAAGACCCTCGACTTTCCCAAGCAAGTTTATCTGCCCTTTTTTTGAACTTTTTATGTGGCTGCTACAAGGAATCACTGGTGAAAATTGGATAGCAAGTAAGGACAGATGTTATAGCCGGTCACCAGAGAGCACCGTCACATTGACCCTAATCCCTATCCTGCCTACGTTTGTTCACCCGTTTGTCCATCTTTCCTTTTCATCTCCACTCAAATCAGATTGATGAGGGCTGTGCCACTCTTCGTATGAAAATCACTCTGGCAGACGGGAAAGTTGACCCGGTGGCCTATCGAATCAAAATGCGACCTCACCATCGCACTGGTTCCACATGGTGTGTCTGTTTTTCCGTCTTTTCATTCATCGCGCCATCCATTCCAGGTGCATTTATCCTACGTACGATTACACGCACTGCCTGTGTGACTCGATTGAGAATATAACTCACTCATTGTGCACCAAGGAGTTCCAATCTAGGTGAGTGTGTTCCCTTTGCTCGGCTTTGTATCGATCCTGCTCTCAGTTCACCAACTTCACTGGTAGAAAATCTGACCAAATCTTGCTTTTTTTTGCAACTGTCTTTCTTTGGACACCCCTTGGGAGTAATGCTTTCGTAAATTTGCATCCTCTCAGGGAGACGTATCCGTTGTAAGACACACTAAGAGACTAATGAGAAGTGATATCTTTTGAGGAGTTGTCCCCCTTGCGAATGTGGTCTGTTTAGACTGGACGTTCGAATTTTCCAGCCGCCTGATGGAGAAAACTAAACGCTGACTGGTCGAATTAGAGTAGAGAATTTGGTTATCATTACTGTATGAGTATTATGCTTTATCGTAACCTTGAAATGTTTCTAATCTTGACCATAAGGCAAACTGAGGTTGATTCTACAGCTTTTCGTTCACGCGGTTTTATCATCTGCGCTAAAGTTTTAACATTACTACGCACGCCGTGCACATCAGTGAGAGTGCCGGAACATTCTTTACTGGATAGATGTGGTGGACGCACGGAAGATACTCATTGTATGATTAGGGATAATCTAGACCGAATGAAGAGAACCCTGTCGATAGAATGGACAAAATTTCCTACTGGTCAAAAGTGAACTTTGGTCAAACATTAACCTAGGGAGAGAATCACGTGATCGTATCACTCTACTGGTTGACTACATGATCCCTAATGTGCATGTGGGGGTCGCTTTTGAATCCACAGCTCAGGCTGATGAATCCGGACGCGGATTTTCTTTTTGATGGCCGGTATCTTTGTCTCAACAGACTTCAGCATGTTTGCCGGTACTTTTTATGTAGGCGCGGAAGCTGTTGCAGTGTTCGCACGGTGCGCGGTATCCACACTCTCTAACATCACACTTGGTTCAATAGACGTCTGGTTTAGGCCGCGATACGCTACGTTTGACCAAGATACTAGCTAAATTACGTGTCACCGCGAGAGCCCCGAAATCAGGACATCCACTGAGTGTTTTCACGTGTGATCGCTCCAACACTCATCACGCTTGATCCAGTGTTGGAGCTGAAGTGGTCCGAAGGATCAACTTGTTTGCACTCTCCTCCGGTTGTGTCGTCTCGCGATAGACCCACGTTGGAAATGTCAGAATGACCTTTCCGGTGGGCACAGTATGGTTCAAGCAGCTGACAGCAAACAGTACAGGAAGCTTGAATGTTTTCAGTTGCAGCTGTCACATCAAGTAAGTCAAGACACGGTGAATGCAACTCGCACCCATGAACATTCGTATATGGGCCGAAATTGAGGAACCCGTCCCAACTGTCCACGAAAAGAAATTCGTGCTGTTGCTCCGTGTGGACCTTATAGGGCTCAATGGCTCAATAGTGAGAGCGCAAATTGACAGACCGGAAGGCCCGTGGTTCGAACTCGATCTGTGCTTGGGCAACCTAGCAGTATTTCAGCCCTCGTGGTTACTTCGGGTGGCATGGCAGTCAGGCACTGAAGGCTGCTACAGCTGAAAGACAGACAAACCTTATAACCGATAGTGCTAAGATCTGATGGACTGTGAAACAAGCGTTTGAAGGTGAGGGAGCAAGGTGCGGCGGTACTTAGTGAGAAACGACTGATGGTTCATAATTGGAAGACTGAATTTGAGTTCTTAGAACAAAACGGGGTACGAAAGCGTGGTCTGAATGACGCGTATATGGTCAGTTGGATAGAAAGTGATGCGACAGTAACAGTATCTACGATACACCTGCGACTCGCCGCGGAATTCGGCAAACACGCGAGATGGATAGCACTGGTGTCTCGATGTACCTTTACTAACATTGAAGATATTGCATCCTACGGGTGAGATAATCAACTCGTGAGAAATAAACGGTTGAGTAAGAAGTACGTTGTTTCGAGAAGGTGGTACATTGGTTTGGACCGGTGAAACAAACGTTAATATAGACGCAACACACTACTTATAGGATTGCCGAAAACTCTTCAATGACCCACAACCATTATGCCACTTTTTGGAGCTCATTTGGGTGGGCACAGTCATGAGTTTCCGTCGACCGTATGTTCTTTCAGAACCCCAAATTAGACGAAAATCACCAACTACTCTGATGTGGCCCGAACTCATCCGTCGGCATCTCGACTATTTTCTAGGCTATGACAACCTGGAAGTATTTCAGCCCTCTTGCTTTCTTCGTGTGGCAGCTGGGCACCGAAAGGGTACCACAACTGAACGATTACTATTATTTGTTACTACTCTCAGTAGAATGCGAGTTTTGATGACTCAACTGAATGCAATCGAATCTCTTGTTTTATACGGGTCTTCTTTAACTGAATGTGCTGCACAACGGCCGCCTCATGTTTCAGCTGGTACGATATTCGAGATATCGCAGTACATTTTCATGAAGAAAGCTGCTCACAAGGCTGCTGAAAACTTCTCGACAGCCCACAACCGGTTTCGCCCTTCTTGGGGCTCATCAAGTAGGCGCAGTTCCCGAGTTTCCGTCAACCTTATGTTCTACTTGAGCCCGAACTGGACTGATTTCGACAAATGCACTCATTTGCAAATCAATCTGGTTTTCACGACAGACCGCGCCTACCTGATGAGCACCAAAAAGGGCGAAACCGGTGGTGAGCTATTGAAGAGTTTTCTGCAATCTTGTGAGTAGTTTCCTTTAGGGAAGCATCCTCTTGTGTGTTCGTAAAACCAGGGATCGCAAAAATCTCGCCTTGCCACCTGGTTACCAAAAAAGACAATAAAAAGATAATCTTTTAGCTCTGTCACCCTTTCGGTGCCTAGCTGTCATGTCACCAGAAGAAAGCACAAGGTCTTGGATACTGCCAGGTTGCTCAAGCCTAGAAAAGGGAAGTCGAGATGCATAGGTCGAGTACGAACCACGGATCTTCCAATCAGTAAATTCTCACCCCACCTAGCTACCAGCAGGACCTAGTGCGTCACAGTCTCCTTATATCGTAACTGTGGCTTGTCATATCGAACGAAGCCGATAAAATCCCTCGTACAAGCGCAATGCCACATGCGTTTTGCCTTGGTCCGCTGAACCTAAGTGCTCTGTGCCTTGTGTGAATCCCGATGGAATAAGACCGGTAGATGCACAAGGGGGGTACTTTTAAAGCCAAAATAGTGACGTAGAAACAACTGCACGGTTTGGACACAATGGATACTAAAGGTAGTCAGATGGTCTGAACCTTATCATTAGACTTAACCAGGCCACAACTTGGCTTGTTCTATACTACAATAGTCACAGAGGGTCGCCTCGCAGAATGCCAATGCGGGTAATTCTCGTGTGTGTGTGTGCATGAAACATGCATGCGTGCGTGTGTATGGTAATAAAGCCAGATTCAACCCAGTGTGCCAAAATACAGGACAATACAAGAAGACAATACGGTGTAAAGGTTATTGTAAAACGCATTCTAGATTTGCGGCACCAATGATGAATACACAGATGGTCATCACCTCAACCCAAACTAAGAACTTGGAGGAACGGAATACTGAGGACTCCTAATAGCCTAGGATTATGCTGTCGCTATAACGATGAAACGGTCTGGTTTGGATTGGATATTCTAGCGACCGCAAACTCCCATTCCAAGCTGAATACTAATCACACAATAGACAGATGAGAATTGTCCAGCGTCTGTCTCTTGTAGTACCGTTTTTACAGGTGACTAGAAGAAACTGAACTGTCACTATCTTACGCCTTGTCTATCTCCCGGTTTCAGGCGTCCTGCCTACTACTGGCTTTGCAACGTCTTGGACGTGTATTGCCCGGTTCAGTGGGAATACGGTCGTTTGAACCTCAACTACAATGTGGTATCGAAGCGCAAGATCCTCAAACTGATCCAATCCGGGATCGTCTCGGACTGGGATGACCCTCGACTCATCACACTGACCGCCCTACGTCGGCGGGGTTTCCCGCCCCAGGCAATCAATAATTTTTGCGAGCGTATTGGGGTGACCATGTCACAGACGATTTTGGACCCGTCGGCTTTGGAAGCTTGTGTTCGGGAATATTTGAATGAACACGCTCCTCGGGTAATGGCCGTTCTGGATCCACTTCGAGTCGTGATCAGCAACTGGAACGAATTGTACCCGAATATGACCAAGGGAGAGGTGAGTTCAATGATCATGCGTTGGTAAAATTTAGTTTGCTCCTTTTGGAGAAGTTATCTCTTCTCACAGGTGGTCTAATGAGAGCGAACCGAAGAAAAAGACCGTGAAACTATTGGGTAAACAAAATATGATCCCAGTTTTTTCAAACATTTCTTTCTTTCAGTGCCTTATGGTTTGCACTGTGTTTGGGGTACGGTGTTCGTCAGATGTTGTCCAATATAACCGTTTGCAGTTTTTATGCTCATCCGGTCCAAATTGCACTGTAGGTATCACTCAGGACGAGGATAGTCTACGATGTTATGGCAGTGAAAGGCACAAAACACGCAAACGAACGTTTAGCGCACACTTTCAAAGGATCATGTGGAAAGGCTTCAAACCGATCAATATTGAGGACTATGGTATACTATCGAGTAACTCTTGGTGAAATAAAGGCAAAATGGAATACCGAGCGTTGCCAGCGGTCGCCTGACTTTGAGTGTCTTGCATAACATCAAACGAGCTCAAAAACGTCTGGTTTAAATTGCCGAAGTTCATTTGGTTGACACAAAGTGAAAACTTTCCAAGAAAACACGAACGCCAAGTTGCCCTTTTTGTAAAACTGGAGTGGGCGACAGTTTCGGTCTCTCCAAAGATGTATTTTGATGGAGGTGCTTCTGAGCAGAGAGTCATAAATTCCAATAAAAGCCTCGAGGAACCAACCGAAACCGGCCTCTTAAACACGGACAGCTGCATCGTGCTCATGCGTTGTAATTTGGATGGTACCCGTATTCCTTTGGCTAACTTCTGGGCACAAGGGAGACACCTGTTGTTCTCCGTGACCTCTGTTTTGGCCACCTGACATATTACCGTCGCATTTGATGTCCCCGGCAGTGTTTTACTTACCTGTCAAATGCAGTGGGATAGAATGCATGAAGCCCGAATGATACAACATAATACGATAGCATGCCCATAGCATTTTTTGTATCGAACACGTGGATTACCAGCACGCTTCAGAAACTCATTCGAGATGGTAGCTTTCGGGACACTTGTTGGAAGCCCCGAGATGGGAGTTATTAAACATGTATCAGTCATGTGGTCCGTGGCATACCTACCAGCTACCAGCAAAAGAATAGCGCTCAGTAAGAATGAAAAGAGGAGGGGGAGGTGAGGGGACCAGTTGATGACCTATCGCAAGCATTCTGAGGTGTCTGCACCTCCAACCGTTCAGTCAGACAATCTGCAAAGAAACTGACAGCGTGAACGGCAGCGAGGCACCATGAGGGGTCTCGAGGACCCCATCCGGGGAGACGGACCGCACCAACATTAGTGAAACTTTTCGTAATCGTTTTCACACCGTCGTGTCAAGGCATATGTTGTCCACCTCGCGGTTTTGTGCCATTCTGGAGTAGGCACAGTGAACAACACTTGTCTCGGTAGACGGTGTTTCGGCATGCGTAGAACATGACCGATCCATCGTAGTCGATGGGGCTGGATATTTCCTGCGATTGAGGTGCCTCATCCACAACCAAATACCCATTTTCTAATCACATCGTTACAAATTCGTTGACGCTATCCGACACCAGCACGCTTCTGAAACTTCTGTGGTAAAAAAATCTGGATACAGCTCACATCTGTCCACAGAGGCCATGTCTCACTACCATACAACAATGCAGATATGGCTCAGTCGTTAAAGGGCCCAGCTACCGATCGGAAGGTCTGTGGTTCGATCCCACTCCTGGCTTTTTACTTGCTCCTGTCTGGGATTAGGGGGCCTGAGGGTATCTTAGTCTTCGTACTTCCTTCGAGTTGCATACATTGATGCGTCGAAAGGGTGTTACAGATTACTAGTCTACCTTTACCTGATTGATGCCCTCTCTCAAAAGGAGCCACTTGGTGAAATCTGTCAAAGGTGGTCTCTTGTGGGTGGCGGTTGTAGTCGTAAGGAGATGCTCCAAAGAGCCGACTAATAGAAAAACATCTATCTTTCTCACTGGTCTCCCTCTGGGGGTGAGTCACTATAATTGCAAGTCTTGCATATATATATATATATATA